AGGGGGGGAGGGGAGGGGAGGGGAGAGGAGAGAGAGAAAAAAGCTTAGTTTCCAGTTTGGTGCTGTTCTTTCTTTGCTGCTGTTTTCCTTTAACTGTAAGGTGTCTGGTTAGTTAAAAATACCTCTTTCAGATCTGCTGATTTTATGTACTTTTTTCTGTAGGCTACATTCCTGGAACTCCTGACTACAAAGAAAAAGAAGATATGTATGATGAAATTATAGAATTGAAAAAGGTACAGTTTCTCTGATACTTACATAGAAATCATAGGGTCGCTCCATCCACCTGTAGACGTCCAGGCCGTGTTGGTTCAGAATACTTTGGTTTCTACAACTGGGACATCCACCAAATTTTTTTGCATTTGTAATGTAAGGCTAAACTAAACTTGTGTCTGTTTAAGGCAATTTCATTGTTCTTATGGTGTGATAGATACTTCTGAGTACTGGATGTGGAAGCCTTGAAGTATACCCAGTCCTGAACCCCAGCCATGGCCCTAGCTGGACGATGAAAAGGTTCATTGCATTTGGTTTCTTTGTCCCTCCATCTCCTTTTTTTTCCCTTTTTTTTTCTTTTTTTTTTTCTTTTTTTTTTTTTTTTTTTTCCCCTCTCTCCTGGCTGTTACCCATCACATTTTAACAATTTGTCAGATGAGTTTAGTGCAGTGTATGAAAGATCAGGACTGGACATGTTGAACACTAGGGATACCTATAGACAAATATCTTGGCTGTTGTAGATCATTTGTGTGAGGTTGCCTTTCTGTTAAACCTTTTCCTTTTATCTTTGCCGTGTTACCTCCCTTATCTGTCAGCCCTGGTCCAGTGTGGTGTGTGATGGTCTCTGGTTTTTTTTTTTTTTCTTTCGCTTCATCCTGACCATCATAAGTGGATTGTTATTGACATCAAAATGTGTTTCCATGTGAAAACTCAGTGTGTTTTCATTTCTGAAATGTGCTTACAATTTTTCTCCCCTCTTTTAGACAATACAAGCTCAGAAAAATGAGGGAGATCGAATGAAAACTAAGCTCCGACGATTAGAAGAAGAGAACAATAGAAAGGATAGACAGATTGAGCAACTGTTGGATCCTTCCAGGGTGACTATTTCTTGGGGGGGTAAAAGTGGGGCAAAAGAGTGCTGAGCAGTGTGATCCTCTTCTTGTCTCTCTGGATTTCAGGACTCTCTAGTGTGTTGGCTCCTAGGAATGATGAGCTTGAATATCAGATGTGGTTGGTTGGTGTGAAGGGATTTCTGTTTTGAGAATCTCAGCTCACCATTTTAGCTCAGTTCAAAGGAAGATCATGCCATGCTGTGCAGATAAGTTTATTTAGCAAAGATACTTTTAATTTCTGAAGGTAAAGTTAAAATGCTGTCTCTTTAGAGGCCCACTTTCTGAATATTTTGCCTGAGAGTAGAAGGGAGTTAACCTATTGCACGGTGACTGAGACATGCAGTCCTGAGTCCTGAACCAGGAGGCAAAAGATGAGCCTTATTGTCAGACCCAGGAGGCTGAGAAGCATTTAGGGTCATAGTTAGAAGACCTGAATTTCACTGAATTCCTTGTGGCTGTCATTTTCTGTGTGGAGATCTACACCTTGGGAGAAGCGTGCTAATACAAAACAATGAGCACAGACACTTCAGAATTTAAGCTGTTGGACTGTGAAATGACTGTGGAGATAAATAGGTTAGAAAATTCTGTGGAAAGAGCTGGCAGTAGCAATGTTGGTCACTTGCTTTATCTGTCTTCTCTTGCAGGGCTCAGAGCTGGCACGAGCTTTGTCAGAAAAGACAACTGATAATGGATGGGTAATAGTTTCTTCATTACCTTTTGCTTTCATTTTTCTTTTTTTCTGTTGCCAAGCTGAAACACTACTGATTAAAAAAACAAAATGAAGTAAGAAAGAATAAGCAATTAGGGAATCACGTAGCCATTATTTCTAAGTCGGATAAGACCAGTAACAAAGATCTGGAATTAACATTATTTTAGGGAGCCTTCTTTGTCACTGTCTTGAGTCTGTTTAGGGAGTATTCTCCCTATTATTTGCTGCTTTGAATTTAGCAGGGTAATGAGCAGACTTGTTTTTATTTAATGATTGTGTATAAGCTGATTATGTTACCACAGATATAAGTTAGGGATCTGATTTCCTTAGTGTTCTCTTTGTCACAGGGTAGCAGACATGCGTATGATTTACTAAGTACTGGAGTATGTAGGAATAAGTATATCTGGTTAGGTACAATTTATAAAGACAGGGCAAGATTATGGAGAACTGGAACTTCTGTGAAGAGACGGATTATTCTAGGACTCATGAGCTCTTTGTTCTTTTTGTAGGTTGTTAGTGGATTAAAGCAGAAGATTTTCAAGCTAGAACAACAGTGCAAGGAGAAAGACAACACTATTAAGTATGACTCTGGCGGGGATAGAGGCTTGTATTGGATGATACAATAAAGGGAATTTGAAGTCCATGTTATTTTTCATCTGTATTCTTCTGTTCCTTAAGATGTTTTAATGAGCTCTGAGAACATATTAGCAATTATAAACCATCCACCCAGAAATTGTGAACCAACAGGTATTCCAGCATCTTTGCTGGTCTGACTGAATTATTTTTTGTATTATTCTGTTTTCAGCAAATTCCAGGCAGACATGAAGACCACTAATTTGGAAGAAATGAGGATAGCTATGGAAACCTACTATGAAGAGGTACGTCTGACAGGTCTCCTGTGTACAGGAGAGGAAGTTGTTCAGTTGCTGAGTCGAAGTATAAATGGAATGTTTTAGATAGGTTTCTTACAGCTATAGCTGCACCTGTCATTGGAATCAGATTTTCATAGAAATTCTCATAGCTCCATATGTATGTACTGAAAAACCTTTTTTCTTCAATAAGTTGAGTGTGTTAACCAAAAAGCGGAAATAAAGAAACTAACGTACATCCATAAGTGTCTAGATGAAAGCCAATGTAACAATAGCCTGATTTTCCGTGATGGCATCATTGCCTCTGCTACTATGCAAAGAGTCTTGTTCTGATTTTCACCTAATGGATAAATGTGTTGCATTAGCAATGTCAGCTTCCACACCTAGCTCCTTAACGGAATCTATTTTTCATATTTCACAGGTTCATCGTCTCCAGCTCCTCCTGGCAAAATCTGAGACTATGAGGAAAAAGTATGTTTAATTCTTTTGAGGCAAATGTTTGTGTACATGTGTTTGATGTATCTCTCACATACGACTTTAACGTGAGAAGAGTTTATTTTGTCATTTAGATTGCTGGATTTGCTTTTTGGTTTTGATAAGCCTAAAATAATGGCACTCAGTGATACGGTTATGATTTCTTTCATTTCTGTCACTTCCCGTTTTTGGTGGTGTGTTGTGTTTTCGTTTTTACTTTTTTTTTTTTTTCCTCCTGGCTGGGGCAGCTGTATGAATAGTCATCCATGACATCTGGACAGCCTTATTTGTTTGTTTTTATGGCTTCATTGCCTTTTAATCTCCAAAAGGTAGATTAGATTCAGCTTTTCACTCTGACATGCTAATTGTAGACTGTCTCCCCTTTTACTTTGTAATTATTCCAGTGGATGGGATGTAAGATTCCTTAACAAACTGTTCTGTGATTGTCGTTGGCAGTGGCATTTGTCCAAAAGTAGGCCCATCAGTTACTTCAGACGTTTGTTTTCAGAAGTAAGTTTTTAAGAATTTTCTCATAGCGATAAAGAACAAGTATTTCATCTCACTAGAAATCTGTTCTGTGAACAAACTTTACAACTTTGCACATTTAGAAGCTGAGATTTCTTCCTGGTTTTTTTAGAAAAACTAAAAAGGCAAAATCACTGTAATATATTAAAAACAGTTTTAACACATAGCAAGTTTTCCCTTTTCTGATGCCTTTTATTCCCATCACATCAAGATTAGCTGTATTCTTCAAATCTGTTTCAAATCTCTCATTGATTGACATGTATCTTAAATGAAGAAAGAAATTACTCTGGGGTTTACTTTCGCAGGAATAGTTTCTTTTATATTAAAGCAGCATTCACAGTTATCTGAAAAGACACTTGTGTGTTGGATTTGTTTGAGAGTTATTCCATCTATGTATAGCGCCCTCTCTCTCCCAATCTCAATCTGTTTGTTAAGTGAAAGAAAGCAATTCAGAGCACGCAGGTTAGCTTGCCGTGCTGAACAGTTTTTTGGAGGAGTACCCCAATTGGCTGAAGATAAGTGTTTTTAAATCAGTGGTCCATAGAGTGCTGGTAAAGCGTTACAAGGTTTGTCAACAAAACAAATAGAAAACCAAACAAGTAAAATTCATACAAGCACCCTTGTTTATGCGTTAACAGAGTGGGGGAGGAAGTAAAAGTAATAAATGAACTTTCAAAGTTTCAAAGTATCGGTTTTCTTTGACACAAATTAAAAGAATTGTGAAAGTGTTGAGCAAGATGGTCTTTGCATGTTTTTTCCTAAAAGAATAGGTAACTCCTCAAGTAAAAAATATTGAGAAATGCTGTTGGGGGGAAGCTGAGACAGTTAACTTAGCCAGCTGATGTGAATAGTGAGGCTATTCCACTCTTTTTAATGCTGCTTCTTTGTTCTCTGCTTTTAAGTTAACTTTCTGGTTTTGACCCCGTTTCCAAGTACAGAGGGCAGAGATACCCAAAAACGACTAAAGGCACTGAATGCTGCTGTCCTGAGGTTATCCAGGAACATCAAGGAGTTGCAGAATGAGAATCAGAGGCTGAAAGAAGATCTAGATCATGTACTGAGCAGTTCTCCTCCTTCCAATAAAACAAAAAGTATGTGCTGAAAAGTTGGTGAACATGGAGCAAGGGATTTGGGTACATTTGAAAGATGTGTTTGAGAGCAGGACCCTACAATGTAGAAATAAGGCAGTTATTACAAAGGTGAAGATTCAGGAGAGGCAAAGGTTGGAGTGAGAAGTTTCTTACAGGAATCTCTCTCTGAATTCTGGATATGCTGCTCCAGTCAGACCTGGGTTTCCTTTGTTATTGTCCCTTAGAATTCTGTAGTGGAATCACTTGAAGATTTGACGTTTCACTGGAAAACTGTTTTTCAGTTGTTGAAAACTGATGAATGTGAATGGTTTATATTGATTTCTGAGCTAATTGGTGTAGAAGTCAGATGTTTTAAGACCATTCTCATTTTTTCATTGCTGCATATTTAAAGTTGGGGTTCAGAGGTCTTTAGATAGTCTTTCTATATGGACAGAAGTTTCAAAAAGCAAGAACAATGTTGACTCGCTGACATAGTTTCATGTTTAAAGCTTTGTTGTTGTGTTTAGATTATAGTGAGTGGAGCAGACAGAGGCTGATGAGGCGGATTTCGGAACTAGAAAAAGTAAGTGATCATAATCGTGTGGCCATCTTACCTGTCTTCGAGCAGAAAATGCAGAACCACTGGCATGTAGTCCTTCAATGTATAAGCCTTGTGCATTCTGGCCCATACATGTAAACTGATGTCTGTACCATGTGCCCTTCCTCCCTTTTTTCTTTTCTCATACTTTTTACATATAGATGCACATTTTAGAATTAACTTCCATTTGATCTTTTCTCATGGCCTAAATAAAATCTTTTTATGCTAAATTTAATTTTCTTCTTCTTTTTACTTTTGTATTTTTTGTGTAAATTTATCCTGTTTAGAAAGTATGTGCCATGGAGAACACCAGGGTGTCATCAGCAGATAGTGAGCCATCACAGTTACTTGCTGTGTCATCTTCGCCTTCTGTAGACCTGGATCATCCAGCCCCTCAACAGGTAGACCATGTTGAGGAATGTCGTCGCCTCCAAGGGCTAGTGAAGAAACTGAAGAGTGATAGGAAGGCACTTCAAAATCTCCTACTCAATAAAGAGTAAGTGCGACCCTTGTCTGAGATGATGTTCTTCTGTAGGTGTGAATTATTTAATTATTTCCTATCACATTATGAAACGATGTAATAAGTCCTTCACATTTTCAGCAAGAAAACAAATTTTGAGGGTCCCTTCAGCTTTTATTTCAAAAGCTTCTTCTAGTCCTACTAGCATTGTAAAATTACATTGCAGAAAAAAAAATCAGTGAGAGGGTGGAAAATGAGAATTTCTGCTTGTTTCTAACACATTTTTCAAGGCATATTTTTTGTCAACCACACTGAAAAGCCTTTGAAGGGTTATATGTCACTTTACGCCACACTTCTTGCATGTATTTTGCTGTAAAAATTTATCTTGTTTTTTTAACATGTGTTGTCGTGATCTACCACTTTCTCCATTTAAGCCTGCCTTCTGCCATATGATGTGCTGTGACTTCTTTTCTCCCCAGTAAGCAGTTGATTTGCAATTTGTATTGCTTGAACTCGTTTGGTGCGTCAGTGCATAAGGGCAGGCAGGTTAATCTGATTATGAGCAGAGATGTGCACACAGCTATGTATTGTTGATAAGACACTCTGCCTCCTGTGCCAACTCGCCCTCTGAACAAAAATGCATAGTGAGAGCATGCAAAGAGGCCTTTTGCTTCTGAACAATATACGCTTGCATTTTATTTTGTTTAAAAGGAAAAAGTAAACATTTAGTTACTTCACAAATTTGAGAACCTATTTTATTTAGAAGTTTAAACAAAAAATAACTACTTTGTTGAAGTATGTATGTCTCAAATATTGCTTAATTTCCTTATACCTGTATAGATTAGATATCAAGCAGTTACTGCAGGCTAAGGCTGAAGTGGAGCTGGAGCTGCAGAAGTGGCAGAATAAGATGGAAGAAAAGAGTACAGAAGAGCAGACTTCAAGGTATCATATTTTGTATTAGTAGATCATTTCAGAACCCAAAAAATCTGTTAAAGTATAGTTCTCTTTTGAAGTGGCTCAAAATCCATAGGAGTTCATCTGAACTGCAGGAAGCTGGGAATTCATTTAATCAGAACTGTTTTGGAAGGATGGAGTAAGTTACTAGGGGAAGAATTCTATAGAGTGGTTTTAGAGGAAGTGGAAGACTAAGAAGTATAGTAAAAATAAGAATTAAATTATAATAAAAATTAATAAGATAAATGGAAACAGAAAGTTGCCATGTTGGGCTCAGAGACATTTTTTTCTCTTTCTAAGAAAAAACTGTAGTGTCTTTACCTTAGCCTATGCTTCTATACCGTTGGCAATGTATCATTCCATTTACTTCATGTATTCTGTGTAGCTGTTGATAATAATCCTATGCAAGGGTGGCAGAAAAAGTTATTATTGCTTTGTAAGAAAGGACTTTGATGACTGACAAATATGAAACTGTAGCAGATCTAGATGCAATATTAATAGTATCAAGGGTACCATTGTAACCTTGGGTCTTTTTAATTTTAACGTAAGGCTGTGCTATCACAACTTGAGAATTGATGTTACATGTCTGTTACTATAAGAACGTGTATTAGTTATCCTGACCAGTTTCCCACTTTGGCCTTTAAAAAAAACCAAAGCAACCAAATCTTATGAAATAGGTTCAGTATTTTCAAAGCAGAAGCAACAGAAAATTTCTAGCTATAAATATCTTTGCTTTTCCAACCATAGTGAGGAAATCCAGAACCTGACACAGAAAGTAGGGAAATTGGAGGAAGAGATGAGAGAAATGGCGGAAGATACAATGGAAAAGCTTAATAAGGTACAGAAACATGTTTTTGTTTGTGGGTTTGTTTTTTTTTTTTTTCCCCCTTGCATCTAACTAACATATTGCAAATTGAGCTGATAGTCTAAATAACTGCTAGTTGTGTCTTTTCAGGGAGGCATTAAATCTTGTCATAGAGATTCTGAATAATGGTTAATTCCCAGAGTTTTTTGATAAGTTGTTTCAATAATTACCACTGCAACTTGGGGCTTTTTTGGAGCTGTTCTCTTAGTGATTATCTGCCCCACCATCGCTTTTTTCTTATTCAGTGGAATGTTGCAAAAAGCTTACACTTCTAAGTGTTTGGGGTTTTTTGCCTTACTTTCTAAGCAAAAAAAAAAAAAAGACATTTGTGGTTTTGCTTGTATCTTTTCAAAACTTCTGAACCCATTAGCTAATTTCAGTCCAATTTTGTAGAGGGAGGGAGGTCTTGTAGGAGTTGACAGATAAAGGAGAGAGACACAGGTAAGTGTGCTTGCTGGCAGACTGGCAAAAGACAAAAAACCCTTTTCAATGATTTTTATGCTGGTCAGGTGATCAGTTAGGGCGCGTGTGCTGTCCAGTCAGAAAAATATTCATTAGCTTTTCTGTTTGGATGGAAGCAGGGTACTCTTTAATGGGAAGGTTTACAGGATGTAGAGCACTAATCATGAGGTTTTTCTTAATTCCACTGCTGATGGGACATCATATTTGAGTAAAGAATTAGGAAAGATATCAATACAATAAAATAAACCTTTATCCCCTTTGAACTGAAGTTTTTCTGGAGTTGAGATATTCATAACCTCTTCTTTCTGGATTTTCCAGTGTCTAATAAATATATTTGTGCATCTGTTAATACTGGAGAGTCTTAAATGGGACTCTATAATCAGTTGGGGTTTTTGTCATGAAATATGACTGAACTTGATATTGTTGCCATCTTCTGTCCCTCTGCCAAATGTTGTTGTAACTAGCCAGTAGAGATGAATGGGCACTGACAAACGTGCTTTCAGATGCAGTGTGGTCATGTTAATCTCATTTCACTAAAAACTAGTTGAAGATTATTACTGGGGATTTTGATCGTTTGTACTTGAGAATAAATAGACCCTGAAGTACAGGTATTAAAAAATATGAATAAAAATGTCCACTAGCTTAAGAGGGTGCTGGTTTTTGATATACTGTGCAATTCTTCAGATTCTTTTTTGTGTGTTATATGCTGATGGATGCTAGATGATGTTTTGAATACCAAATAACTTGGGTCTTTAAAAACAGCCAACAAACAGCTCCTTTTTTCCTCTGCAGACTATATATATTCTTGGCCAATAACCATCCATTTATCGAAATGTTCCCATTATTTGTAATTATCGCTAAGTTCCTACCAATTTTTCATTTTAATAGTAGGTTGTCATTTTTAATATAACGTGATCCATTTGCTAACTTAAGCCTGTAACTCTGCATTTTTAGGTTATAAATAAATCCTTTTCACAGAATCAAGAGGTTTTTTTCAGAGTCTATAAAATCTCTTGTTCCTCTACTTAGAATTTTACACCAACAAATTAAATTAGTCTTTTAAAATTGCAGTTAACTTTTGTTTGGCAAGTGAGGCATGACAATTAGTACGGGATAATTAGGGATCAAAAGGATCAGATGGTGAGAGGTGGAATATGCAACCACACCTCAGAAGAAATAACTGGAACAAAATCTTGTTTTGTTCTTGGTTTCTTTCTTTTTCCTCTGATTAATTTCTTCAAGATAGAAGAGTAGGGTTATGCCAATTTACACAAGGTCTCCGTCTTGTTGGTGTCATATGATGGCCAACTCATCAGTAAGCTTAAACAGATGATTATGGGGCCACGGTTGCCAGGATGAGACATGAGAGAGCTCCCCAATTAATTAGTACTAGTCTTTCCCAGAGAAGAATTGCAAAATTAGGTATACTGACATTTGTTCTCAGTCTGTCAATAACATACAAACCATTTCTGAGCAACAAAGCAGTGGGTTCCACTGTTGGAGCTCCTATTGCTTTAAAATGCATGGAAAAATAGGCGTATGTGTAAATGAAAACCTTTCCATTCCCATGTTCTGCTAACAGCTAAAAGGGGGACAGGAATGTGTTTCACTGTAACAGTCATCTAGATGATGAGTTTGAACGTGAGCAGTGTTCAGAACTAAGAGTTTCCTCTTTAACTTCCTTCCACCCTGCAGGGTGAACATTTAACAACTCTGGTGCTGATTTTTCTGCGTCATTTGTAACCTGTTTCCCTCTTAGAATTCCAACTTGTGTCTTTAGTGTACTAAGCTGAAGATTCTCCCTTGCAGCCTTCACCAGTCCGCATGCTTAAAGGCAAAGAAGAGCACAGGAAGGAACAAGCAGCCAAAATCATCCAGAGACAGTGGAAGGTGTACCGAAACAAGGTGAAATTCTCTTATCAGGGAACAGTGAGGACATCCCCCATCCGCCTCTGAATCTTACTCTTGTTTTAGCATCTGCAGTAACCTGCTGCCAGGTTCCAGGAACTGCAGCAGTGCTTCCCCGTACAATTCCTTACCACCATCTTCTCTTCCACTTTTTTCAAGTCCTCCCTGCTGCTTCTTTTGCCTTTGCTCCCTAGAACCCTGTTGTTTCTGCTGTGAGATACCCAGTTTCTGAACGGGGGAGTCTGGATGAGCAGAGAACTAAGGAAGCGTAGCAGTGGTTGAAGCAGCACTGCTGCTGTTGCTTCCTTGGAGCATGACTGAGAAGTTAAATTCCCCTTGCAGAAATCCTCCAAACAATACAGGAGGTTTCGTGTATTGAGTTACACTCAACAAGGACAAAATGATCTAGGAAAAAAGTGTTAACCTTAAATTTTGTTCTATGGGCAACAACATAATGCTGCTTTTTCCACGTATAGGACACATGGTGTGAGGTGGGTCTTGTAAATGCTTCTTAGGAATCTTAAAGACAAAAGAACGATCCACACATCTTTCAAAGATGCAAAGTTGTTTTTTTTTCCTTAAGTTTGTTGTTTGAGTTTTCAGGAGGAGGTGGGACAGGTATTTCTGTGTGTTTTAATTGTTGGGGAAAATATGGAAAATCTTTATTTAATAAAACTTGTATATATTTGTGGCATTAACTTAGGCATTTTTCATTTCAGAAGGAAGAAATTGCTCTGGATGAGGTGAGTGTGTTTGACACCCAACAAAACAGTAAAAGAGATTTAATTTGTATCAAAGCACAAACAAATAACTTCTTTATTTTTTAAAGAGGTTTTATTGTAATATAAACTGTTGTACCAAGATCATGTTTGTTCTTCAGGCTGGCTCATGATACCTTCTGACATCCTGGTTTTGTTTGATATGTCTTGTCAAAGTGTTCCCTTTCTGGTCTCAAATTTTCTGTACTTGGTACCTTCTGCAAGATGAAAGCTTCTGAAAATTTTGAAAAAAATTTGATACAAACAGACAGGGAAGTTTTTCTATATTAGGTAATTCTAATAATGCTTTCATTTTCACTATGATGAGTCTTCGGAAAGATTTGAAGTGGGAATTTGAAGCCTTTGCTAAGAAGAAACATCTCAGTATTATGAAGAAATTGACTTTGTTTGACAAACTTGTCACTTTTTGATAAATGTTTTGCACCTTTCGATAAAGGTTTTGATTAAACTGTTTTTTCAAATAGCACAACGTAGCATCTTACATTTGTTTCTTCCAGAACATTAAAAATCCGACTTTCAGAAATTAGAACAAATTCTAACCATGTGACACAAACATACTGTTTTACATCTAGATGCTTTTTGTTGGTTAGAATCCAGTAAAATCTCTGAGTAGAGAGGAAAGACTTACATTCAGTGTAATCACCACAATGGTCTGCCATTGCCTTGGTTTCTGATTGTATCAGAGCATCACAGAGCCTGCCGGGTAGCCAGAATCTAATATGGGAATGGGAGCATGTTGCTCTATTTGTGAAATACAGGCTAGTATTGGCAGCTAGAACTTAACTGCATTTGATAAGACCAATCATGAACACCTCCCAGATTGAATTTAAACCATGGAGGTGTATGTCTATGGATTGTCACAGGCTGGAGATTCTCTGAATTGCAGCAGAGTACCTGTGAAGTAATGGGGACGTGTGTGTATCCCTTAAACATAAGGAAATGTCAATACATCAAAGAGTTTCCATTGCACAGGGAAAAGTTATTTTCCCCATGTGCCTCTTCCCTCTGGACTCTTGTTTTAATTTATAGCTGCCATATTTCAAAGGAGCTAACATCTACTTATTTCTTTCTATGCTAGGCAGTTGTTATGCTTCAGGCAGCTTTCAGAGGACATTTAGCTCGACAGAAACTGTTGCTGAATAACAGGATGCGTGATGCAAAATCTCACAACAAGGTAATTGTTGGGGCAAATGGGTATCCAGGTATCCCATTATGTTTAATTTACAGTGTAAAGTACTGTACTTCCAGACTTAATTCTCTGAATCACCCAGTGATGTTTTAATGCACTAGTTGACAGCACCACTGTAATTCCAGAAAGATATGGAGCTCATTCCCTAGCCTCCCTTTCCATCTTCTTTAGTTCACAGTTTTTCTTAGAAGTAAAGCTATAACTTCTTTGCATTATGGACTGTAACTAGGTCTCCTCTTTTTTTCTGGGTCTCCGATCAGCTAATAACATACCCTTTAACTCGGAGTGCTATTGAAAACTGTACTTGCTCTCAAGTGTTCACCTGCTGAATCATTGTAGTAATAGAAAAACTTTCGTCACTGAAGTTCAGAAAGAAGAATTTGGAAGGCATCTTTGATTGGATTGAAAAGTAAAGGAGTCTTGCGCGTGGCATGCTCAACCAAAGACTTGTAGTGTCCTCTGTCATGTCAAACTCGCTCCAGATTGCTCAGTTCTGAATATGAAAAAATTTCCTTGCCAATTAAACATTTAGTTTCTGTAAATCATTTGCCAACTTGTATGAATACCCTTTGGACCTTTAGCAGGCTAAAGTTAATTTGTAATTCTCCATCCAGGTTGTCCATCTGCTTGCACTTTACATGCAGTAAACTGGCCCAGTGTAGTAGGGCTGAATACTTTTGCTTGATACAAGCAGAAGATACATCCATCACGAAGGTTGCCTTACCTCCTTCGACTTTGAAAGGTTTCCTTCCTGGAAAATAAATGAACTTTCCTTGCAGGAGTCTGCTCTTTCATTAATTGAATACAGATTCATACAAGCTTCAAAGCTTGTATGATGATCAGATTTGAATTTCCTGCGGATTTAGTCTTACAGAATCTTAAAGACTGCAGACTAAAAGATGGGAATATTTGCTCTACTACCACTCTCACAATCAGGAGTAAGATTGTGAAAGCTTCTGTCAAGCTTCTGTGCAATCTGTTAAAGGTCAGTTTTCTTTAATCTGATTGCTTTGCAGAACTCCTGCCTGTCTTCCATGTCAAACTCCTTGAGCTTGTCTTCTGATTGCAAGGAGAAAGATGAGATTGTGACATTCATCCAGTCCATTTTCAGGGCTCACTTAGCACGTACAGTACTGCTTGAGGAGAGGTAAGTGAAGAATAGATATTTCTGCAACATGCAGTAGCAAAATTGTTTTTATTACAGGAGAGGCATCTTTTTTTTGTAGAATGTTAGTGTGTGTTCCTTGGCAGAGAAGGAGAACAAGGCCATTGTCCCACCAAAGACAAGGAAAAGCTTGCTCGTGAGAAAATTCAAAGGGTATGCAACTAAAAGGGTTTCTTGTTGCAGCAGCAGTCTTCCCATGTCCTGTTGCATGTTCTCTTCCATAGCAATGAGGAAAAGTGAAGTAAAATAATTACTCTTTGGAGAAAACAAAAAAATTTTTAAAAATTGCAGTTGCTATCAAACTGATTGCTAGTACACTCACTTAAAGTAAGTAAATCTGAAGCCCTGACATGTAAAAGTTAATGGTTATGTGGAGGAAGAACAGGGAAGAGCTAGAACACCATCTTGCATACAGTCTAGTGACTTAGCTCACGAAGAACAGGGTGATTTGCTTGCTGCTTAGGTTTATGGTGACTCTGTCTTGAAAAATACTTCCTTTTTCTCCAAGGTTTACTGCCTTGGAAGTTTTTAATATTGGCTGCCATGGTTACAAGGAGAGTTACATAGCTGTCACTTCACTTTAGCGTCTGAGTTCACTTCTGCAGGTGATAAGCTTTTACCTCTTGGAGGCTAGCAACACAAGAAACTTTTCTGCATACCCTGTGAAGACAGACTGCAATTCCTGTTCTGTGCCTCATGCTGTGCAGTATGTCTTTTTGCAGGCCCTCTGTGTCCAGTGCACCAAGTGAGAAAGCAGATTCTGCAGTTTACATTACAGAGAAGAAACCGGTCTCAGCAGCACTCCAGAAACCTCCTTCAATCTTCATGTCGTCTCTTCCTGGTAATCTCATTTCCCTTGTTCAAAAGCATGTCAGTTTTGCGTGGGCGCACACACAATTTTATAGAGAACATCTGCACCTGCACACACATGTGCAAATGCATACTTGTACTCTGCGTGTGTGTGTCTTCTTTTAATTTGATGATGTGTTGCTTATACTGGCAAATGCAGTCCCTTAAATAAAAAATAAAAGCTTTGACAGTGTCAGTACCAGCTTCCCCGCAGTGCTTTGCCTATCTGTCACAACTGTGGTTTGGAAGGTCTCTCTCTGGTGTGAGTGGTAATTATTCAAAGAACATGGTGTTCTGCTGTATTGCCTCTCTACTTCCTTTTCAATCCCCCCAGCCCTGTAGCTGTAGTATGGTACTTTCCACTACGTTTTGGGCCCAAGGCCATAGACAAGCCGAGAGCGTTTTCACCGTCCTGACTTAACTTCTGAAGGGGACAGACATCTGGTAAAAAGAACCATCCTAGTCAGCCATGTGTATTTAGTCATGTTTTTTCAGCAGTCTTCAGTTGCTACAGTAAGGGGAAAAATGAAGTCCTGGATAACCTTGCCAACTAGTACTATTATAATACAAACTGGGAAAATGTCTGTCTTTTTTTATGGCTCTTACGCCGTTTGGTTTCCTTCTTAAATTCTTCATTGCTGCTTGTGAAAAGAGGAGTTAAAGCCAAAGAGGCTTTTAAGAGGATGTTAGAAGTACTGAGTAGGAAAGGCAAAACAATGATGCAGGTAAGACAGCCTTAGACATGCAGCTTTGAAGAAGTTAAAAACAAACTGAAAAAGGTTGGTTCTATCCAGAGTGGGATATTTTAGGCTTTTATGGACCAGCTGGAGAAAAAAGAGCAACTTTGAGGGTGACCTGAGAAACGTTGACTTGTTTTTTGTCAGTGAAAAGCTGACAGTCTCTGCAGACTTGCTCAGAAACAGAGCTGTAAGCAGCTGAGGCTGTTTCTCTAAGATATGAGATGGGGAATAAGCCAGATTTGCAAAGGTTGTGAATACAGAAGTTACCCTTCAGTGAAGGAAAATGTGTTTAAGAAACTTTACTGTATTCCGTATTCAGGAACATATTCTACTTTTGAAGGAGTAGGTAGTACTTGCTTCTGGAGATGTTACAGTTTCGAGTGATTTTTAGTCATGTCTAGTGACAGTATCCAGAAAAAAAAAATGCTGCAGCATCCTGTTTTGCCTGGGCTCTACTGCAGTAGTCATTATTGGTATGCTTAGTCTAAACCCAGAGTAATTCAGTTGTGAAATTCTACCCAAAGAGACAAGAATCACTTAAAAAAAAAAAAAATGCTTTGTGCTTCTGAAGAAGTGTTTCTAAGACCCAAAGAAGGATGTAAGATGAAGCTAGTCTGGTAAATGCAATAGTATGAATACTAATAGAGCACAGTTACTGTCTAGCTATGAAGTCTCCAAGGCTAACTTTTATTGCAGATTATGATGACAAAGTGATGAGTGAAGTAGTTCTGGAAGAATTTCTATCAGAAGGGATAGAGAGGAGACCATCGGCATTCAAACTTTCTTCCTTGCAGTCCTTTTCTGGTGAATATCAAAAAGGAGAGATTGGGAGCAAAGCAGGTTATATTTGCTGCTGATCTTACGAATATGGGAGTCGTTTTCAAAATCTGGCATGAGGATAGAATGTATCTAGGTAGCTTGTGAAGAGGCATACTGGATATGTGCTTCTGTAACTACACAACTGCCAAAAAAACTGTCCTGCACTAAGTAGCTCTGTGAAGTATTAGCTCTTGGTGTATTGGAGGATTTAACCAAACTCTCCCAAAAGACAAGTTGGGAAAAACCTACTAAAGAAAGGAGAGCATTCTGGTGTAAATGCCACTTCTATGAAGAAATGGGACCCCTCGGCAATCTGTTTGGTTATAGCAGGTTTTTTGCCATTTGAATGTAGCTTAAACAGGTTAAAGTTAACTAAAAGTCCAGCATCTGTCATTCCTAGCTCATGACTGATGTAAAAATCCACCAGCAAAATTGTTTTTTGATCTAATGTATTTCACTGGTCATCCTGCAGCTTGGAAGGTACATGAGACAAGGAGCTTGTTTAACAGCTGAGTGATTTAAAGCAACCGAATTCCTTTAGCTTTAAATCATGCAGCTGTTGAACAAGCTCTTGCTTCATTTGCCCCAAGTCCAAACTTGCATTTTGTGACCTCTAGATCTTGCAATGATCTTAAACTATCAGTGAAAGTATATATTGCAGTAAGTCATTTAATTTCACTAGCCTTTCAGCATTATTTTGAGAGGAATGGGAAAGATGAAAATGTGTTTTAAGAACCTTATGTATCTGCTAGAATAAATTTATATAATCCTGGTCTAGCATTGCAGACTTTTAATTCATTGTTTGCATCAGTTAGATGTCTCTGTGTTTTCGGGGGGGGTG